AAACTGGGCACGATAAAGGGGCAGAGAGTGACAGGGAGTGCCGGGTTATAGATTAGACAGAAACAAAGAAAGATTAAGTATGTGCCTCATCATGGAAGGAAACACAAGGTACTCCAAGCAATCCCATTTGAGTACATCCCACAGGGAACTCTCACAAGGGTGCAAAAAGAGCTGTGCACAAAGATGGTCATGACTGCACTGTCTGATGTAGCAAAAGAAGAGTTGAAAACAGAGTTGTCTCATTCTGGGGGAATTGACATAGGATAATAAATAAAATGTGGTACATGCATATGACCACTCTGCAACCAAGAGAAATAATGAATAGCATAATGCAGCATCAGGAATAGAGGTCAGAAACATGGTATTTAGTTTAAAAAAATAAAAGGAACTATTCTGTTTAAATATTCCTAGTTCTCCTTCCAAGAAGCTCCCACTCCTTTGAAGGTCAGCAAGGCCATGTGATTTACTTCAGCAAATGAAATAGGAGCAAAAGTGACCTGTGTCGCTTCTGGCCAAAAATTTTAGGAGCCAGAATGCAGTTCACAAGACACCCTTCTAACATGAGCATATTTGAGATGGTGCCTCCATGAGCCTTGATCCCTAATGGAATCCAATGAACAGAGACTCCCACTGACCTCCAAGTGTGTTAAACAACTGAGATTTTTTCTGGTTGGTTGTTACCTCCATATAACCTAATCTATCCCAACTGGGGCATATTTACAGCACAAGAGCAATCTTTAAGGCAGCCCGGGTGGCTCAGCAGTTTAGCACCGCCTTCAGCCCAGGGTGTGATCCTGGAGACCCGGATGGAGTCCTATGCTGGGCTCCCTGCATGGAGCCTACTTCTCCCTCTCTCTCTCTCTCTCTCTCTCTCTCTCTCTCTCTCTGTGCCTCTCATGAATAAATAAATAAAATCTTTAAAAAAAAAGAGCAATCTTTATAAAATTTGAATATATTTAGGGTGCACAACATGATGATTTGATACAGGTAGGGAAATGATTACTACAGTCAAGCTGATTAACAAAGGTATCTATTTCCTTACATAGTTACCTTTTTTGTGTGTATGAGAGCACCTGAAATCTATAATCTTAGCAAACGTCCAGTATTCAAAACATTAACTATTATTATTAACTATAGTCACCATGTTGTACACTAGATCTCTAGACTTATTCACCTATGCTAACTGCAAGTTTGTACCCTCTGACCAACACCCCCACCTTCCCACCCATGGTAATCACTTCTCTAGTCTCTGCTTCTATTTATTCCCCCCCTGTTTTAGATTCCACATATAAGTGAGATCATGTAGTATTTTCTTTCTTCTGTGTCTGGCTTATTTCATTTAGTATAATTGTCTTCCAGGTTCATTCATGTTGCCACAAATGGTAGGATCTCCTTTCTCAAGGCAGAACAACGGCACAATCGCATTCAGCACTCTATGCACAGAAACACACAAAACACCATCCACCTCCCAAAGGTACACATACCCAACAAATGGGTGGAACCAGAAGACCATGTATTAAATACCCTAAAGTGGGTGCCTGTGAAAGAAAAGGAAATCGAGAGGGGGAAATGACAGCAAAGGGGGAAAAGAAAAGAAAAAATGAAAAAGTATAAAAAGGTTTGTTAAATACATCATGCAAATAGAAAGTCACTCACCAAAAAAAATAAAAAAAAGTCACTCACCGATTTACTAAAATATTTTTGCACTTACTATGTGCCAGCTACTATATTCCAGAGACTACTTACAAAACAATGAATCAGAAAAAGGCAGCTCTGACCTTACAATTTATGGTGTACAGAAAAGAGAGAGATATAAAATATCCTAGTAAGAAACTATGGACAGTGAATGAGTGTCATTAAAAAAAAAAAAAAAATCAGGTGATAGGCACCTAGCTGGCTCAGTCAGTGAAGCATGAGACTCTTGATCACAGGGTCATATGTTTGCTCCACATTGGGCGTGGGGCCTATTTAAAAAAAAAAAAAAAAAAAAGGAAAAGAAAATCAGATGACATGGGAAAGTAACCTCCTTTAGAAATTAGGTGGTCTGTGAACACCTCAGGGGAAATGGTATTTAGGTAAAGATGATGATTGCTTCCTTCCTAGCTTGGGAAAAGGAAGGGATGATTCATCCTAGGCAAAGGAAACAGCATGTGCAAGGGCCTGGAGGGAGTAGAGACCATCCCAAGGAGGAAGTAAAAAAGGACTGGTAGAGTGGAAGAAATGGGTGGCAGGAAATGTGGTGAAAGAGATGGGGGTGGAGGTTCACGGTGGGCATATCTCTGGGCCTCATAACCCAACAGGAGTTTGGAATTTATTCTAAATCCAATGGAAGCATGAAAACATTTTAAACAGGGGAATGATATGATCTCATTTCCAATTTATTTCATGCTAACGCTTAGCACCCTTGAAGTATGCTCATATGTTTTTGCAAAATTTGCAAAAGAGGTATTTTTGCACTCTTCTTCTTCAAGGACCCCCGCAACTTGTATAAACTTCAGGTCCCATGTAACCCAGCTCCGTTCAAATGCATTAAGTGCTAAGTTAAGAGGTAAATCCCAGAGTGCCAAGGAGCCACAGAGAAGCAACCTTGCCAATTCAGTACCAAGAGATCCTTACTGTCAATGGAGGTTTTTCTTTTTTCTTCAGTTTACATGACATGGTAATGTTCACAACTGTACCCTGTCTAATCACAGAAATCAAGAGAACAGCAGCCTTGCTTGAGAAATACTCTCGAAGGTGAAAGATGAAGATGTGTACAGCTTTCCTCCCTTTAATGCCAGGAAATGTAGGGGAACAGTCCATGTTTGTCTCAAGCAGCCTACACAAAGATGCCTCCCATTGTAACACAGTAATGAGTCATGGAGGTAGATGCAGATGGCACAAAAAAACGAAGGGATTGCAGGGAGTCGCTTATCCAGAAGCAAAGGCAACTTAACATACATACCCACCACCACGAATGGAAATTACCTTCCACTTTCCTTCAGTTTTCTCAACATTTATCCAGTAACAAAGGCACCAGAAGCTAACATTTATGGAGATTTACTACGTATTAGCTCAATTAATCTTCAAGACTATCCTACATAGGTTCTATCATTAGCTCCATTTTTGCGGACGAGAAAACTAAATCTAAGCCTTTGAGAGAGACATCCCAGGTCACAAAACCACAAAGTAACAGAACCAGGCTTCAAACTTAGCCTGACTCCAGAGTCCAACTTCTTAAGCACTGTGGAGAATCTCCCAGTGCCACCAAATTTTTCTGCCACCAACTCCAGAGTAGTTTATTCTTTTCTTCCTCATATTTTTTTTTTTAACAAGATTCCTCCCATTTGCAAGAATACAGCTGTGATGCCACAATTAACAAGAGAATGACCACAGGTACTTCCACCCAGTACCTAACTCCAAATCAAATAGGACCAGGACAGTCAGGCCACAACATTCAAAAAGCCACTGTGGTCAAAACATGTTCTGCCCTGTGCTGGGGGGATCAGTTTGTTTCCAAGGGGTAAAATTCTGCAAAGTCTGAACTGCGCAGAATCTGAGCTATACAAGTCAATACCGTGCAAAACAAACACTATAGTATTGAAGGGCGTTTGCTGGGAGCAGGTCTGAGGTACCTAGCTGAGTTCACAGCACAGGTCCACCACTGGCCTTGTGATCACTAGAGGGATGGACAGAGTCACCAAGCCAGCAGGTCCCCAGACTATTAAAATCTAAAGAGAGAAAGGAAGATGATAGAAATCACCAAAAAGCAGAAGGTTCAAACCTACTCCATTTGTTTCATCAGCTAGCTTCCCTACATCTCCAAGTGTGCCGATAAAGATTAAGAACCAAATCTTTCAGGGATCTCTGGGTGGCTCAGCAGCTGAGCACCTGCCTTTGGCCCAGGGCATGATCCTGGGGTCCCGGGATCAAGTCCCACGTCTGGCTCCCTGCATGGAGCCTGCTTCTCCCTCTACCTGTGTCTCTGCCTCTCTCTATGTCTGTCTCTCACGAATAAATAAATAAAATATAAAAAAAAAAAATCTTTCCTGGTTACTTCTCCAGGTAGCCGGGTCTCTCTCCCTCACAAGTCTTGTTCCTTACTCCAGATGCTAACCGAGTTCTGGGAGCTCAGAAACACCCTCCCTAGAAAACAGCCTCGTCACCCGTTTAATGAGAGAAAGTGCTGGTTTGCGAGCAACACTGGAAGCTGCAGAGATGGAGCACCCTGTGCGTGTGGTTTTCACAGCTATGGGGTGTTCAGTGTATTAGGTCAGGAGTTTAAAGGCTCCTGATACAAGTACGGAGAGCCAGGAGAGTCGCTGGTGAGGAGCGATTTGCTAATGAATGAAGAGTCCAACGGAGAAAGGGGAAAGCGGCTCCCTTAGAGACAACAGTTTTCCAGGAAGAAGGCCAAGGACCTGGAGCCCCCCCCCCGCCCCCCGCGCCGACGTCGGCAAGGGAAGGGCCGAGGGGCTCCAGGTGCACACACGCCCCCGCCAGCCCCAGCCAGCCCGCCGGTGGCCGCAACAGGGCACTCCTGGCCCACAGGTGTCCAGCACAAAGGTGCGGACGCTGCTTGCTGTCCCAACTCCACACTCCGTACTTCGGGCCGGCCTTCATTCTTTGCAGGACGCTTGCCTCCCTTCTCCGCTTCACAGGCCGGGCTCCCCGAGACGAGCTGGAGAAAACAGCTGGGGAGGGCGGGGGGCGGGGGGCAGGGGTGGGGGGGAGGTGAACCTGGTTTCATCCTGGGCGGGGGGGGGGGGGGGGGGCGGGAAGAAAGTGAATGGCCAGTGGCCAAGGATGACTGCAAGGGTCGGGGGGGCGGGGGGTTACATGGGGACTCGCTGGGTCCACCGACTGGTCTGAGTCAGGAGCACGATCTGTGCTTAGTCACCGACACCTCGGCGGCCGGGAGTCCCTCGCCCCTGCCGGCCCGACTGGTGCGTGACGAGCCCGAGCGGAGCCCCGCGCGCCGCGCACCCCCGCCTCGGCTCCGCCGCCCGCGCCGCACTTACTCCGCCGAGCTGGTCCCGTTCACCGCCGAGCCGTCGGGGGCCGGGTTCAGCTGGATGGGCGTCGGCTTCTTCTTGGGCATTTTGGACGCGGGAAGGCGCGTCCGGCTCCGAGCGGAGAGCGGCCCGTGTCTCGCTTCCTCCGTCCGCGCCGCCCCACGCCCGCCGCGCAGGGCCGAGCAGGGCCGAGGGCCCGGGGCTGCCTTCGGGGGGGGGGGGCGTCAGGGCCGAGGAGCCGCCGGCGGTCCCGGGGGACCCCCGCCCCACTCGCGGGGGGGCTCGGTCGGCGCGCGGGGAACCCAAGGGCTCCCCCCGCCGGCGCAGCTCGCAGCCCGGCTTCCCTCCGTCCGTCCCCCAGTCCACCGGTCCGTCAGGCTCGCCCCGCACAGCCGCAGCCGGGAAAGTACAGCCGTCGCCGGCGCCGCGCCGCCAGCCGCTCGCTCGGCGCAGCCGTCCCAGGGAGGGAGCGGAGGGCGGAGGAGGGGCGGGGAACAGGGAAGCCTCGCCCCTCCGGCGGGGCCGCGGCGCCTTCCACACACGCCCACTCGGCCCCGCCCCCGTCGCCTCGCCGACAGCCAATGGGAGCACGCCTCGGCGGCAGATGACGCGGAAATACGTCACGGGGGCGCGGCGCGCTGCCGGGGGGCGGGGGGGCGGGGCTCCACAGCGCCCTCTGCCGCCGCGCGGCGCTCGGGTGGTCGCCCCGCCCCCCGCCCCCCTCCCGGTCCCTCCTCCTCCTCCTCCTCCACCTCCTCCTCCTCCGCGGGGAAGAGAGCCGGGCATCCTGGTTCCCGGAGCGGGGGGGAAGGTCCGGTGCCGCCGGGGCCCCCTCTGCGGGGACTGCAGCGCCCTGCTGGGGCCGGGTCGTGATGAAGGACATGCGATAATCAGACGAATAAGGAAAAAGGCCTCATTTCTAGAGGAGAGGGAGCGTGGGGGGGTGGATAGAAAACTTGTCAAGAAACTCCTTGCGCCTAACAAACTGGCAAATGGATACCTCGATTTATGTAAAATTGTTATGCACTTTGTTGATCTACTGATGATCTACAGGGAGATGGGCACTCAGTACCCATGAGATTGTAACTGGGGCAACCTTTTTTGAGAGCAGATTGATAGTATTTTTTAAAATCTTGAAACCAAAAAAAAAATAAAATCTTGAAACCTAAAAAAAATAAATAAAAAATAAAAAAATTAAAAAATGGAATCTTGAAACCTCCCTTAAAAAAAAAAAAGACCTTTAAACCAATGATTCCAGGTATATGAAACGTGAAGAAATAAGATGTAAATAAAGAGCTTACTAAAGTATAGGAAGCACCATACCTATTATTTTTTTTTATTTTATTTATTCATACCTATTCTTTTTATTTTTTTGTTTTTTTCTATTATTTTTAAATGTAGATTCAGGGGTGCCTGAGTGGCTCTATTAAGCATGAGACTTTTTTTTTTTTAAGATTTTATTTATTTAATCATGATGAGAGACACGGAGAGAGGCAGAGGGAGAAGCAGGCTCCATGCAGGGAGCCAGATGTGGGACTCCATCCTGGGTCTCCAGGGTCACGCCCTGGGCGAAAGGCAGGTGCTAAACCACTGGGCAACCCAGGGATCCCCAAGCATAAGACTCTTGATTTGGGCTCAGGTCATGATCTCGTGGTGGTGGAGTTATGGGATCAAGGGCATCAAGGTTCCACACTGGGCCTGGAGCCCGCTTGATATTCTCTCTCCCTCTCCCTCTGCCTCTCCCTCTGCCCCTCTCTTACATACATACATATATAAATATAGATTCAGTCCTTCTCTTCCCCTTCATCCTTCCTATTCAGTCCTAAAGGTATTAAGTGTGCAGAACAAAGTCAGCCACCCAGCTGTTTGTAATATATAAAGAGAGTAAGGTTTTCCTTTTCATTTTGTAGCCCTTGGTACTGTTTGAATCTTATGCAAGTAACTTACTCAATTAAAAACATTTTTTAAAAATTTTAACATTGATATGGGAATGTAACCCAGAGCAGACACTTTGGGAAACAGTCTGGCAGTTCCCCCGGTTAAGTATAGTTACCATATGACCCAGAAATTCTACCCCTGACTATATATTCAAGAGAAATAAAAAACGTATATCCATACAAAAACCTATACACAGATGTTTGTGGAAGCATTATTCATAATGGCCAAAGAGGGGAAGCAACCCAAATTTCCATCAACTCAAGAGCAAATAAACAAAATGTGACATATCCGTACGATGGAATATTACTCAGCCATGAAGAGGAATGAAGTGCTGATCCACGCTACATGCAGGCACGAATGACTTTAAAAATATTATGCCAAGTGAAAAGAGTCAGTCACAAAATATCACATATTGTATGATTTCATTTATATGAAATGCCCAGAATAGGCAAGTCTATAAATACAGAGAGGTTAATGGTTGTTTAGGGCTTGGTAAAGCAGATGAACTAGGGATGGTAAGCAGAATGATAGCTAAAGGGCATAAGGTTTCCTTCTGAGGTAATCAAAATATCCTAAAATTGACTTTGGTAATGGTTGCACATTTCTGTGAATTTATTTAAACCATTAAGTTGGGGCACCTGAGTGGCTCAGTGATTGAGCATCTGCCTTTGGCTCAGGTTGTGATCCCCAGGGTCCTGGGATTGAGTCCCACATTGAGCTCCCCATAGGGAGCCTGCTTCTCCCTCTGACTGTGTCTCTGGCTCTCTCTTTGTGTCTCTTATGAATAAATAAATAAACTCTTTTTTTAAAAAGAAGCTTTTTTAAAAAATTGAATTATATATACACTTTACATGAGTGAATTATATGGTATATATGTATTGTTTCTCAGTAAAGCTGTTATTAAAGCAACAACATCAACCAAGAAATTCAGAAGAGCCAAGAATAGCCAAGACAGTCTTCAAGAACAAAGCTGGAAGATCTATGCTCCCAGATACCAAGATCCACCTAAGATTAAGTATTTAAGAAAGTATGGCACTAGCCTAAGGATAGACAAGTAGCCCAATAGAGTAGAATAAAGAATTTGGGAACAAACCCATATGTAATCAACTGATTTTTGACAAGGATGATAATACATTGCAGTGAGGGAAAGGATGACCTTTTATGTAAATGGTGCTGGGCCAATTGAATCTCCACATGAAAAAAAGTAAGTCTTTATTCATCCCTATATCACACCATCCATAGCAAATCAACTCTGGATGGATTATAGAACTAAATTAATCTTTTAGAGATGCCTGGGTGGCTCAGCAGTTGAGTGTCTGCCTTCAGCTGGGGGCATGATCCCAGGGTCTGGGATTGAGTCCCTCATCGGGCTTCTTGTGGAGAGCCTGCTTCTATCTTCTGCCTATGTCTCTGCCTCTCTCTGTCTCTTTCTCTGTGTCTCTCATTAATAAATAAATATTTTTTAAAGAAAAAAAGAACTAAATACAGCTTTTAGAAGAAAATGCTGGAGATCTCTTCATTACATTGGGGTAAACAAAGTTGGGGGGGTTAGGAGGGACTGTTTGGTTGGCTTGGGTTTATTTGTTTTTTTGGTTTTAAGTAAGCTCTACACCCAACCCAGGATTTGAACTCATAACCCTGAGATCAAGAGTCACATGCTCTAACGACTAATCCAGCCAGGTGCCCCTAGGCAAAGTTTTTTTTTTAAGATTTTATTTATTTATTTATAGGTGCTTGAGTGGTTGAGTTGGTTAAGCTTCTGCCCGTGGCTCAAATCATGATCCCAAGGTCCTGGGATGGAGCCCCACATCAGGCTTCTTGCTCTATGAGGCTTCTGCTTCTCTTCCTCCCTCTCCCTCTGCCTCTCTCCCCAGCTTGAGCGCTCTCTCTCTCTCTCTCTCTCAAATAAATAAATAAAATGTTTTTTAAAAATAAATATTTTTTGGGATCCCTGGGTGGCGCAGTGGTTTAGCGCCTGCCTTTGGCCCAAGGCCCAATCCTGGAGACCTAGGATCGAATCCCATGTCGGGCTCCCGGTGCATGGAGACTGCTTCTCCCTCTGCCTGTGTCTCTGCCTCTCTCTCTCTATCATAAATAAATAAATAAATAAATAAATAAATAAATAAATAAATAAATAAATAAATATTTTTTAAAGGTAAAAATGGGGCAACCTGGGTGGCTCAGCAGTTTAGCGCTGCCTTCAGCCCAGGGTGTGATCCTGGGGACCTGGAATCGAGTCCCATGTTGGGCTCCCTGCATGGAGTCTGCTTCTCCCTCTGCCTGTGTCTCTGTCTGTCTCTGTCTCTGTCTCTCTGTCTGTCATGAATAAATAAATAAAATCTTTTTAAAAAAATTTTAAAGGTAAAAATGTTATGTCTCTTTTACCAGAATTTTTAAAATACTAAGATACTACACCCACTATTCTGGCTAAATTGAAAAAGATAAGTATTATCAAATGTTGTTAACATGTAGAGCAACTAGGAGAGGACTCTCACCCCAATAGTGAAAGTAATAATGTATGAAACCAGTTGGAAAAATTGTTTGGGCATATCTACTAAGGTTGAACTTCTACTGCATGACTCAGAGATTCTACTCTCAGGCATATACCTAGAGAAATCAATATATATGTTCATCAGAAAATATGTACAAGAATGTTCATAGTAACACTATCTGTAATAGTTGCTTTTTAAGATTTTATTTATTTATTCATGAGAGACACGGAGAGAGGCAGAGACAGAGAGGCAGAGACACAGGCAGAGGGAGAAGCAGGCTCCAGGCAGGGAGCCCGATGGGGCAGTGGATCCCGGGACTCCCGGATCACACCCTGGGCTGAAGGCAGCACTAAACCGCTAAGCCACCCAGGCTGCCCTATCTGTAATAGTTATTAAGGAAACAACCCAAATGTCCCTCAGCTGGAAATGGATAAATTGTGGTAAATTCCGACAATGAAATATTCTATAGTTTTGTGAAAATAGACTTACGACTACTTGCAACAATATGAATGAGTCTCACAAACATCCTGTTGAGTAGAAGCCAAACACAAAGACACAAAAAAGTAATACTAATATATATTAAATGTATATGGTGCAAAATGGGCAAACCTAATTTATGGTGTTAGGAATTGGGATAGTGGGTGTCCTTGAGGAGCTGAGCAACAGGCAGGTGAGTTAAAGGAGGCTTTTTGGGTGCTAGCAACATGTGCTTTCTTGATGTGGGTGTAGTTTATCCAAGTATACTCCATTTATGATTTATATACTTTTCCGGATGTATGTTACCCTTCAATAAAACAATTACGCGAGAAAAGAAACAGAAATTCACTCAACATTACTAATCATCAAGGAAATGCAAAACAAAACTACAATGAGATATTGTTAGAATGGCTATCATCAAAAAGACAAGTGATAACAAGCATTGACAGGGTGTGGAGAAAAGGGAACCCTTGTGTACAGTTGGAGGGAATGCAAATTCACACAGCCAAGTATGGAAAACAGTATGAATGTTCCTCAAAATTAGATAAATTAATTAAATAAAAATA